AAAGAGCGGCTCGGCTCCTGCCTGGCGGCAGCCTGTGCTTCTGGGGGCCTGCTCATTTCCTAGGCCTGGCTTACCCTGAGTGGGAAGAAATTACGTCAACGTTTGATCATGAAAGCAAAAAGTTTATTCATGTTTGAAACTACATATAACTACCACGAGGAAGACTTCTCAATCCAGGGTGTCATCCAGTTAGAAAGTAACACGAAACGGTTTAATACATTAGAATCACTGCCACAAATTATTTTCATGACTCAATCAGGTTCAGAATCGCATACAATACAAAAGAGAGAAAGAAAGGGCCCCCTGTTGCACAGGGGACGTACAGTACTGAATACCGCAGTCTGTATGCATCACACTTAGTCGTTGGGTTTTGCGTGGATTAGTAACAAGATGAAGAACATTCAAAATGCTTCTCAGTATTTACAACAGTTTCACTGTTCTGTGTCAAACCCCACGGTTCCCCTTCCGCTTCGTTAAAAGTTGCCGATGCAACCCTGGTTCTTTTAAAAGATTACAATGTACATTACATTTCATGGGGAAACAAGGAGTTAATTACAAGATGCAAAAAGATAAGAAAGAGACAAACTACAGCGTGAGTATCGTTCAGAGGTAGTAAGTGAGCACTCTAAGCTACAGAACATGTTGAAAGTCTATTGGTTTGTATGAGTTCGCATGAGGTAATAAAGCTGTGTTTGATTGGTGAGATGTATAAATACTCTTTTGCTACACTATGTACAACGCTCCGTGTGATGGTGCCTTTTGCCTTTGCTTTTTGCCTTTGCTCGCGGTCTGCTGCCAAGAAGAGGTAGCAAATCTTGGCAGGCGTGGGCAGCACCGAGCTCGTACTGTAAAACCCCGGGCCTTGGCTCCCGGAGAGGTCAGCAGCAAGCGTCTTCATCTCCTAAGAGCAACCTACGTCCGGAGCGGAAATACAGAGAGGAGACGCGGGGTCCGGGCAGTTTTAGCAAGAAAAGATGCTCCTGGCTTCCAATCTAATTTGTAAGACAACAGATCACAACAAAAATGTGACGAGGAAGGGTTCTTAAACACAACCATTGTTAACCGAAATGACCGACCAGCTCTTTTTATTCCAACTCTATAAGAGATATGAAGAGATTAAACACGATCAAAGCCCACAATTCGCTTCGGCCTTCCATGGAAATATGCACAAAGTTAAATTTCGGTGAGGTGTTTCTTTGTGTCTGCTCTCGCTATTGAGGTTAAGCTTGTCCTGTACTTTTACCCTTAAGGCCAAGTAATTGGCAACTGTTAGACCAACATCGTTAAAACGGCTGATAATAAATTATGATAAAATAGTTACAGGGCTATAAACAATGCTAAATCTTGGCCTAATTGGATAAAGTGCTTTTTAACATTGTGTGTTTTAAGTATAAATACAAATGATTATGATACCTTTAAAAAACAGATTTACCAAGTTTTCTAATAAGACAAGGTTTTACAGTAAAGCTGTAGGTGGTTGGCTACAAAAAACTCATTCCTTTTTCTCCTGTGACTCTGAATGCGCTAATCAGGGCATCTCAGCTCAGGGAAAAAGTGTTGCTAGGAGATTAGTTAGAGGTATCAGAGTGCACACTTCCCGGCCCTTCTGTAGGGGAAGTCACAGAAGATGGAGTAGTTGCGTCCTGCCAGCCTCCATTAGCCTGAAAAGGGAAAAACAATTCAATTGACACAATTACGCGTATTAATTAAGCATACACCGACAGTATCAGCCCGGCAAGCCCGGGGTTCGGGAGGAGATGCTCCGGGAAGGAGATTTTCCTGCGCCCCCTCCGGCTGCAGAATTTGTGCAGGGGAGCAAGCGGCAGCGGCAGGCGAGGGACGCCGAAAGCGCGCCCCGCGGTCACGCCGAGCCGTCGGCCGAAAGCCACGCTGAGAAACCGGGAGCTGCTCAGCCAGATGTCGGCCGCAGTCAGGGCTTTGGGATT